GCTAATTGCGGATCAGGTGGCCACCAACTTGAAGTACATTAAACATAATACATTTGCTAATGCAAACAAACCTGGGAGATGGTTGGCCTACCAATTACGTAAGAGACAAAAGGCTAGACTTATATCTAAAATTTTGGTCAAGGATCGTGAGATTTATCAACAAGAACTGATCAAAAAGGCATTCACTGAATTTTATTCGTGGAGATTACATCTGCAGTAATCAGGTTTAGGCCAAGAAAAATAAAAGTCTCCTTCAAACTGCCTCATTCAATGGGCTATAATGCATTCAGTGTCTGACTCTTCTCTGCCATGAGAATCTTTCTCTGTATTTCTTCCAAACACAGGTAGTCCTCGACTTATGACAATTGAGGCCAAAGTTTCTGTTACTAAGTGAGACGTGTTAAGTGAGGTTTGCCCCATTTTATGACATTTCTTGCCACATGTGTTAAGTGAATCACTGCAGTTATTAAGTTAGTAACACGGTTGTTAAGTGAATTTGGCTTCCCCGATGACTTTGCTCATCAGAAGGCTGCAAAAAGTGATCATTTGACCCTGGGACAATGCAACCGTCATAAATATGAGTCAGTTGCCAAGCGTCTTAAATTTTGATCACATGATGGTCGTAAGTGTGAAAAATGGTCATAAGTCGCTTTTTCAGTGCTGTCATAACTTTGAACAGTCACTAAACGAACTGTGGTTAGTCAAGGACTATCTATATGCTATTATTAGCTATTAATGTTTAAGTGCATAAGTAAAGGCCATATTATATCATCATAAACTGCCAATATACATTCAACAAGTGGGATTTTTACTACAACTAATGGATACTTGGTTATCACAATCAGGCCTTACCAGAAATAGTATAAAGCAGTACAGAAAAAGTTATGACGTGTTCAATAGTGCTCAGGTAATATAAGATAAGTCAACCATAAGCTGCTTAATTACTTTAGAGAACAGCTTCTTGCTCAAAAAACTGAGTGAAAAGTTATTTTATATATATTTTTTGGCTTGCTCATTTCTTCACTTCATTCATTCAAAACATTTATATAGCCACCCATCTTCTAATCAACTCTGTGTGGCTCCCCTTGCAACACAGGTGCTATCCTTATACAGAAAAAGCAGCAGTTTTATTATCTAATATAAAGGGATATACAGGGATCCAGTGTATTCATGCATGTTAGATAGATAGATATTCTTATTATTCTGACCCTGGAGTGAAGAAATGGATGCTGGGAAAGTTTTTAGCTCACGGGTCTAGTTGTTGTAAGTATGACCGATCTTCAAAATATTCAACAGAGCGATTAACTGGGTATTAAACTGTACTAGTCTCAATGGGATAAATATCTGTCTGATCAAAGAACAGCTTGTTTGTATGAATACAGACGGTATTTTAGTATCAAGTCATCCCAGCTCCTTCAAAATATACATTTTCAATTTTTAAGTATTTTTCAATTAAGGTATGCATATTGCTTTTTGTAAGCATAATACTATTGCACATTTAATAGGCTACAGTATAGTGCAGGCAGGTCCAACCAGTGGCCCATGGCCACAGGCGGCCACAGTCAGCTAGTAATGTGGCCCCACAAGATCGCAAACTTTTAACCTTATGTGATTTTTATTTACATTAACTATATTACGCTGCCACATTATTAAAATATATGTGGCCCAAAACAATTCCTCTTCACTCAGTGAGACCCAGGCAAGCCAAAAGGTTGGACACCCATGATGTAGTGTAAACATAAATTTTATATGCATTGAAAATGAAAATATTTTTGTGACTGGTTTTTACTGCAGTATTCACTTTATGGACTTAAACTCTCCATACCTTTGAGGTAAGCCTGACTACTGTACAGCTAACAATAGCAAATCAACCTCAGGCAGCTAGACTGGAACTAAATTAAACTGAGTATGAATCTTGGTGATTATAGAGATACAAACAGTTTTCTGGACTACTGTACAGAAGTTGTTTGTCACTGTCTTCTTCCAATTTTCCCAGAAATCTTCCATCCAAGTGCTTACTAGATTTTAACCAAACCCAGATTAAATAGGTAACAAATCTGGTAATCCAATGTATCCAACCAACTCAATGACCCTTATTTTTGGATGAACAAGCACAGAAAGAGACAATGTATACAAATTTGCTATGTATCAGAAAGGAAGTACGTACACTTTGGTTTCATAGTCTTTCCATGCTTTATCAAACGGCTTCTTCAAATCCTGTAGAAATGAGAAGAAAGTCACATTAAATAGGCAAGTGATCATTTGTGCTAAATCACTTAGATTAAAATCTGGTGAAGTAATCTTTGGAATAAATAGCCTAGTTTTAATTGGCTTTAGTTTTTCTCAAATTAAATTTTATACATCTGAAAGTCCAAGTACTGTATACTAGAAGAAGACTCAGTCCTGGGACTGTGCAAAGCCTTCAAAGGAAAAATTTTGCAAAGCATTTTTTGTGAGAGTAAAACACCTCTCCTTGAAGTGTGAATTGCAACAGCTACTTCCTTTAAAAGGCTTGCGCTGTTGCTGTGAAGGCTGACCTGAATGCACCCACACAGCTCTCATGCACAGCCCTTTTGCTGTACACACTTGACCAGCATCTAGACCAGCATGAATAGTGAACCTCCAGTGTAGCAGCTTTATTACTTCAAGGAGTAAGAACGTGCTCCTACTTTCAAACACTTCTTTCAAATATTTTGCACAGTCTGACTCATTACTTTCACATTTAATACTAATGTGAGTTCCTCAAGTCTTGGTAGAACTAACCAGAGATCTGTTCATGTGAAAGATGCTTATTTGGTCCACATTAATAGATTTTGTAACCCACCAAAACAAATGCAGTGCCTCCATGCAGACAGCAACCGCCTGAAATTAATAAATGAAGTGGTTGTTCCTTTTTCTTGCTGTACCCTTCCAAAGAGTTGACCTTAGCAATCAAAATGTAAGACTGGAGAGGAGTGGTTTTGTTTGGGTTTATATGTCATGTCAAACCAAAAGGTCTACACAATGGTTTAGTGTGAACCCAACCTTTTTGTCATAAAATTTAGTGTGAACCAAATAAAATGATGTGACAAGCTAGTAAGATTATTTTTCTAATTCTTTATCTACATTTCTGATTTAAGTAGCAGCACAGAACGCTCTATCTCCTGCCTATCGGTCTGACGTCTCTCTGAGTCACAGCCTTCTTGCTGTCTAATGCAAAATTAAATTAATCCTAACTTGACAGCGGATGTGACTGCATTATACAATAATCCTCGTAGCACCAGTCAGGCGTATGGTATTTATTTATGGGTGCTGCACCATATGATATTGGAAACCAAAGTCAGCCATGGTTTGCTGGTCAATCTTTGCATCAGCCAGTATCCTAGCCAGCTCTGCAGTTCACACTTAGGTCATTTTTTTTGCCTTTTTAAATGTTTCTTTAAAGCATAATGCAATTGGAGTCATAAGACACTGCCCACAAATTGAGGAAAAACTGAACTCCAGCACTTTCATGGCATCATTATTTCAATATTTTTGGATTGGAATTAAAAAGTGAAGAACTATCTCCAATTTCCCATTTCTATGACTAGAGGGCAAATCACTTTCACCATCCCTCAGTGAATAAATGAACAAGTATAATGTTTATGACCCATTTACTTAATTGGGTTCTCTTTGTTTTTAAAAACTTGTATGGAGAACAGATGTGTTAGGTCATATTTATGCAGAAATCTTTAAAATTCGAAAGGGTTCATAAACTTTTAAATACCACTGCACATTAGTCCAAAATAAATCACTGCATCCAAGATGAAAAATTATCCATCTAGTAGGACAGGGCAGCCGGATATGACAGCAGAGAAATATCTTTTTCTCCAGTACAAATTGTAACATGCACTTATGCTAATAATTAAATAATTTTTAAAAATAGAAACATGTAACATACCCCTTTTACGCCTTTTAGATCGCCCTTTAGCAAACTGTCCAGTGGAAACGTGATTATATTGTTCATGTTCTGGATCTATAACAAAAAAAATGTTTTCATCTAAAAGCATTTAAATATTTCTAAATAAATACCTAGCAGGCATTCCAAGAAAGAGATGCAAGATACTCATTTGTGCAGAAAGGGAAAAGGATAATGAAGAGTGTATTTCCCACATTTTTGTTGGATTTAGGAATGCTTGATTTTCCCAATTCATTGTAATAGTTGTGTTGACACTATTATTTTCATTCATTAAAACACAGCCTATGTTGCAGGGAACCTTATCTACTTCTTCAGGAATTCCAAGGTCATTCTCATCCTAATAACCTAGCCCAAGGGTGTCAAACTGCTGGCCCACGGGCCGGATGCATCATAGCGAAAACGCGCCCACCCATTGCCGGCAATGGCAAAAAAGTTGCGATACATTGCGACACGTCACGTGACGTTGCAAGTTTGATACCCCTGACCTAGCCAGACATAATTGCCCTGCCAACATCTAGCTCCATATGCAAATGCCTGCTCTGTCTCAATGTAGACTCAAATGTGAGCTCATACCGAAATTCAGTCCAATTTGCTCTTTCACCAACTACACTTTAGGCCTCTCCTGATTTGCTTCATCATCCAAAACTCCTCAATAAAGCTAGGAACATTGTTGGAAGAAAAGGCTTACTGAGGTACAATCTTATCCAAGGCTCTTATTGCTTCTATTTTCCAACAGGCAACTAAAGTTTTAGCACAACTGTTCACCACAGCCTAAGGAAACTCCTCATATACTTTCTATAAACCTCTTTTTGAGGGGTGACTAACTGAATAGTTTCACCCTCCCTGCAAAATTTGGAAGCACTAGTCACATCCATAGCAATATGAGAGTGATTTGACCGTGGCACAGAACAAAACTATTGTCTCTCACCCTCAGATTATGTTGCAACCCCCCCCCCCCCCAGATATATGGTCCTCTGGGCAAGTTAGGCCTTGAATGATCTGGGACAGTTTCACCATCCTCATGGCATCCATGAATCCTGAGCTATCTCTAATCCATGAGAGATCTTGGATGAGGAGAAATTTATTACAGGCAAATCTGATATTTAGCAATAACAATCAGAGATTAAGAGCATCTAGGTAGCCTGGCTCTAAGGGTTAAGTAGGAATTGGTGTCAGGAGCCCAATCTCTGTTTGCCCATCACTACATCCCATCCTCTATTAGAAAATACCTCTAAAACCTTGTACAGGGATTATGGGAAAGCACTGCACTGCACAAGCATTTTTCTGGGAAGAGTCAACACCGTTCAGACTTGAGAGACGTGGGCAGAAGGGCATTTCAAAGAAACTCTACCTTAATTGACTTTTGCAGTTCTCAAGGATCTGTGTTTAAATCCAGCTTGGTTTTAAAGAGACTTTTCTAAAATCGGTGTCATTCTTGCTTCTTTGGTTTTGCTAACAACAGATAGTTCTCGACTTACAACAGTTCATTTAGTGACCGTTCGAAGTTACAACGACACTGAAAAAAGGGACTTACGACCGTTTTCCACACTTATGACCACTGCGGCATCCCCATGGTCATGTGATCAAAATTCACACATTTGGCAACCGGCTCATATTTATGATGGTCGCAGTGTCCTGGGGCCATGTGATCCTCTTTTGCGACCTTCTGACAAGCCAAGTCAATAGAGAAGCCGGATTCACTTAACAACCGTGTTACTAATTTAACAACTGCAGTGATTCACTTAACAACTGTGGAAAGAAAGGTCCTAAAATGGGGCAAAATTCACTTAACAAATGTTTCACTTAGCAACAGGAATGTTGGGCTCAATTGTGGTCGTAAGTCGAAGACTACCTGTATGTGGGCTTGACACCCTAATATCTGCATACAAGCTTTCCACTCAGTGTTGGAGGCTCTTCCAGATTAATTCGAAGAAACCATAGTCAGTATGAACAAAGGAAAGCTGACAAATAAATACCATTAAGTTAACATGTCTTATACCTTGAAATAATCTGAAGCCATCTTCATACACATCTTAAATAGCTGGAGGCTGTTAATACGACTGTTACCAAGTGTCAGATAAACTAACCAAGTGTCAGATAAACTAACAGAGAATTTGGCAAGAAAAAAACAGCACAAATTGCCATGGACCATATTAACTTACTATTTTTGAAAAGGTACCCCAGGAATCAGTTCCAAATAAAGCAATGTAAAGGTCTTTTTTGTTACAGAGGAAATGGGAAATGAGAGCCCAAGGTACGAAAAGAAAAATCAAATATCACCTAGAAAGTATGAAAAAATAGTGTATCTGTTTGACCTTATACATAAACCCACCTCTATTTAAAATTTATTTTCATGCACAGATTCTAAAACAGAACAAGAGTTAAGAAACGTGGCAAAAAGTATTTAAATAATAAAGACCGTATTACAATTTTTAAAACAATAAAAATAAGTCATATTTGTTTTTCCAAGTTGTGTAATTTCAGAATCTGTTTAACAGTTTTGTAACGTTACTAATACCATACTCCTCATTGGCAAGACTTATTTTAAGGCTACATTTGTTTACTGTCAATCCTAATTATTATATAAAATAAAAAGCAACCAGACAGAGGGATAGAAAAGGTATCTGCAAGTAGAGGATACTGAAATACACCTTTACAACAATCCATGTGATAATTTAACTTGAGAAATATAATATGCCTTTAAAAAGTATCATATATACTCACACATAAGACCATATGTAGATAAGCAGATCCTCGTATTTTTAACCAAAATACCATGAAAAATACATCACTAGCACATAACCCGACCCTTGAAATACACTGTTTATATACTGTTTAATTTTGGTACCTAAAATTCCTGGCTTATCTGTGAGTATATGTGGTAAATATTTAAAGGCAGGCTAAGCTTCCACAAAGAGCAAAGTACAAATTTATAAATTGTGTCCTTTCCCCTGCGTTTTCTGAATAGTTTTAATACAGCAAGTGGAATGGTTCAACTGAAAGAAACAATGTTCAGGATGACACTATCTAGGTCAAGTGGTGTTTAATCCACAGTGGTTCTTATATTAATGCATTTTTTTACTTGATACTCCAATCATCTGATTATAAGCAGACCTCTTATGTCTATGTTTAGATTCTAGATATTTATGTGTTTTAAGTACTGTCCAGGATAAGATATATTTGCTAATACATTACCCCAACGCTTCAATGAGGCAGAGATGTTAGGCTACCACTATAAGAAGTTCACTATAATTTAACCACGATCAGATATTACAGGGAAAGGTGTTTTTCAGCTACAATACACTTTAGAATGTTATATAGCAATCCTGGAAAAATGTTCCTATTCACCAGACATTAAGTATTATTTGATAAAATATGAAATAAAATTATTATTTAACTGCTATAATAATAGGAAGAGATGACAGCTTCTTAAGAGCACACCCAATGCCTTTTTGAGGCACCCCCTTCCACCTTCAGTTCAAACACAACCAACATTATCCCATGATGCTCTGCTGGAGGAGGTGGATTGTGTCTCTGAAGGGAAAGGTGGTATGATGGACTACAATGAAGCTGCAGAAACCCAGGAAGGAAGAAACACATTCCAAGACGTGGGTATGGAGGAGACAAGAGGCAACACAGCTGGATCAGAGTCAGAGATTTAGCATGGCTACTCTCCCAGTGTGTATCCATTAGGGCAGGGGTGTTCAAACTTGGCCCTTTTATGACTTGTGGACTTCAACTCCCAGAATTCCTCAGCCAGCGTGCCCAGCTGAGGAATTCTGGGAGTTGAAGTCCACAAGTCATAAAAGGGCCAAGTTTGAAGACCCCTGCATTAGGGTTAGAGTAGTATAGGTTTAATCTGTCAAGATTCTGTCTATATGGTGTGAGCAAATAAAGAACTGAACTTTAGTTTGTTCTATGTCATTCTTTGGCTGAGCCTGTCAGATCAAAACAGATCATCTCCTCTTCACTGGATTTCCAACTCCCATGCCAAAGATTACATAATGTTATAAAGCTTTAGAAAGAACCAGTCATAAAATGTTTCAAGTCCTTCCTTGAGAGCTAGATAACAAAGTTGTCCTAGGAATAATTTACAATATACGCAGGATGCATACACAAAAGATTCCCCCTACTGATTGCATCTCTAAAGAGTCACAATTTAAATCTTTGTTAGGTAAGCTTCAGAAGCAGGTATTCAGTCCTTTTTCCTCACCAGGGAACAGCTTAGTGTCTATCAGAGCTGTGGCTTTACAGGCGGTCAAGTTTTTAGATTTAGTAGTTATATATTTTAGATTAAACTTAAAACTACATTGTACGATTTCAATTCTGCAGTACATACTTTCATTTGTTTCTTACCAAGTTTTTGAAGAGCGCTGTCAATTCTTTTGTAAATACCGCAAATTTTAAAAATGCTGTTCCTAAATCTGGATCATCCCTACAGACGCAGTTGCCTCCAAATTTCTCCAAAGCTTGAGTATACTGCTCTTCATTTTCCACATGAGCTTCAAAGAGAACAAACAGAATGCTAACTCCAGTAACCATCGACAAGTCCTCCATTGATGTAAAAAGTGGAGGTATTTTACAAGTACATTTGAATACATTCATTTAATCCAAATATCTTTATAGTTTTAAATTTCAAAACAATATGATAATCCACAGGTTTTTTTATAAAAAATAAACATCTGAATAAAAAAAAGCAAGAGCATTAAATTGCTATAACTAATACAAAAACCTGAAATAGATTCCAGTTGAATAACTCAAAATACAGGAGAAAAGATCCACTCCAAAGAACAAGTAACAGTTGACGGTAAATCATCATCGTCATCAACATCACCATTGTCTCTAAATTTATCCAATCTTTAATAAATGAAGCCTGGTATATCATGATTATAATATCCCATATTTCTGACAGTCTCCTTTGTGAGGACTCTGGCAGTCCCATGACCTGCTAACCAACTCCTGCCCATTCATTTCAATGGGAACTACATCTGTGCTACAAAAATGAATGAGAAGACCTACAAGGTATTTCATTATTCAGTATTCCACTCAGTTCTATAAAACAGGGTCACAATATTATACCTTGCATGAAAAAGAAAATATTATTAAAGAGATCAAACACAAATAAGAGAAAGCAAACTCAAAACTTGCCAGGATATAAGAAAATGGTGTGCAAGCAGTTAGGGTCCTTGGCAATATCTTGTATCAGCATATAGTAATATAAGAAATAATATAATATAATGCGTATTAAAGTATACAAATTATAATGCTTTACTATCCCCAGATAGTACTATTACATTGGATAGGGATAGTGGGGTTGCTATATAGTATTTGAGAAGCACTGAATGAGTGAGCAGATAATGAGTGAGCAGGACCAAATGCTGACATATGCATAATAATGCCACTAAATAAACAATGTAACTTATATATTTATATAGGTATCATGATGTGAATGACATGAATTATATAATAGTGGTATCTATACAGTATTATGAGGTACATATCACTTTGATATTACACTTGATGTTACAGTTGTCTATAAAAATACCTAGTAAGGTTAGTCCGTATAACAGTTGCTATTTGAAGTAGCACATCATAATGGTGTTACAGACCAATTGACAGGTATATAAAAAGGCTATTTTCAGATCAGAGCAAAGAAAGATTGGGATCACATGTTGATTATGTCCTGGTTTGCTTGACCATAGTTTGTTACTTAAGCCACAATAGCTGGCATTTCATAAACTCTTAACACAAAGTTGGTGGCAAAGAAATTGGAATCTGTTCTTGTGAATACAAGCTAAAGTACATTAATTAATTTCAAATTCATACATGGGCCCCTCCATTCATTCACCAATACACCTTAAAAGAGATAAGAAATTTCATTTTCTATCAACCGTAGTTTATTGATACACCTAAATCATAAAAATGTGAAATACCTTAATTATGTTTCACAGAGGGAAAGGGAATTGATGACCTTCCAAATAATGCTAGTAAACTGTAATTCCAATCAAATGTAACTTACATCAATTAACATTTAACAAAAAAATCATTAGCACCAGAAAGGTAAAAAGTGTCAGAAAAGAAGGAACAAGCATTCTTTTGGGAACTATCATTGACTTGAATCTGAACCATTCAGTGACTATTTGACAAGCGTTGGATATTGCAATGTGTATTTTAGAAATACAGAACATCAATAAACAAAGTGTACATACCCAAACCAGAAACATTTATAGCTTTTACAGATTTCTTCATCTTATAAAGAACAGTTCGGTCAACATCCAAGGCCTAAAAATGAAAGCAAATTTTGTTTTTATTAATGATATGAGCTCAACAGCATACCGAGCAATATACTAGTCCATGCTACTTGACAACTGAAAATGCTACATATTGTTTTTAATATAAAATTTTCTACTATTTTTATCTTCAGGAAAAAATGAAATAACCTCCATATCTTTACCCCCAAAGAATTTTCCTTCTTCCATTTGTGTCCAACACTCAAGACTGACTGAAGCTTTTCCAGAAGTGGTCTGCCATTGACTTCTTCCTAAGGCTGAGAGTCACTGACCCATGGTCACCCAATTGGCTCTGTACCTTAGGTGGGTCTAAACTCAACAGTCTCCTGATTTTCAGCCTGATGCCTTAATCATTACACCAAACTCTCACAAAGAAAATACCTGATTGTTAATATTAGCTTAGTGTCAATTCTTTAATTAGCATTCATATATTAATGACTTAGAATTGAAATTTCTAACAAAACTTGGGGTCCCATGCTGATGGCAAAGAATATTAGCAACACTAATGACTGTGTTTCATTTGGTTTATGTATTATGGGGATCTTTTTTTTTTAATTAGCACACCTGACCATATTAACCATATTGTTCTCTGCTGTGATCCAATAGCTCGAGGCAGCTTTCAGCAATGCAGGGTTTTTCACTAATAACATCAAAATGATTCTCACAAGCTTCCAAGAACATCTTAAATGTCCTCTTGAAGAAATGATATGGTACTATAATGATCATGTCACCATGTACGAATAGTAAAATAGAACAAGCCCACATTAGGTACAGAGAAGAAAATCCAGTGCAAGAAGCTACCATACACCATTTAAAATGAAAAACTGACATGTTAAATGCATAATGTACTATGTATCCAAAATGCTACATATACAACAGACTACAAACAATGTCAGTACGGAGTTCACAAAATGTACTGGGAAAGAAGATATAAGAATGTATCAGTAGTCTAGGTAGCTTAGAATGCCCAGGTGGCATTTTGTTTTATCGCATATTTAAAATAATTTATGTAAAATCAAGTTGCTTGTTAAACTGCAAAAAATCCTAGCAGTGAGCTGCCCCAAAATATTATTTTGCAGGACTTCCATTCTTATCAGAAATCTTATCTCAGAAACTACAATCCTAGCAAGCATATACTTGCATCACTTACAAACTGAAAAAAATAGTAGTGATACGCTCTAACATTACAAAACTCAAAATATTGCAGGAAACAATTCATATCACTGAGCATGGGCACAATAATTTAATATTCAATATAAAGCAATGTATCAATGTTGTTCTCAACAGTTATCCATGGGTTTAACAAGATTTGTGTCACACAGTCACAAATGGCAATAACTGTACATGCTTTTTTCTTTTACCCAGAATGTTGTAAGCATTTAAATGATGCCCAAACCCTGCTGCTTATGTTATGTTATTTCAGTATCTCGAGTTCATTACAAAACAGGATGAAACAAACAAAAGCAATAAAATAACAAAACCCTGGAGTTTTCAACAAAGCCATCATGGCTGCTTTGTAAAAACATGCCTTATGTTTTTGGGTATCGGTTTTTACTAATTTCTCTTAATATATTTTAAACAATAATAGTTGCAGTGGAATTCTTTGTGATACCATTAAGATAATTGAGTGACTAATAAAACCAGCTTTTACATGTTTTAAAAGAACTTGCTCTTTGTCTTTTTCTGCTCTTGTGTGAAAAGCACACCTTTTTAATGCTTTTTCGGGCCCTTTTCTATTAGTTTCAAAGAAGCACAGACATTTGCCTCAAGCTTAATTCTGCAACCAAATGGATATTTTAGCATAGTCATATTCATATTGTAGAGTGCTTTCAAATCAATGTTCTTCATAATTTACTGTCTTTTGTTTTCCACCAAGTGTCAATGAGACGTAGAATGTCAGAAGTCATTTTGTATTCTGGCACTAATCTCTGCTCACCAATGTGGTTGTGTAAGGTTCATCACAAATCTTGATCAGAAGAAGACAAAATAGCATTGTTTTGCACATGTCTGTATTTTTTTTTAATTCCCAAATGTTGTATCAAGCTTTACTATATGATACATCAGTGATGGCAAACCTTTTAGAGACCGAGTGCCCAAACTCCAACCCAAAACCCACTTATGTGTCGCCGGGTGCTGGGTGGGTGTGGCCCACTTGGCAGGTGCAGCTACAGTGGGCTTGGTAGACTGGGTGGCGTGGCCAATGGATGGGTGTGGCTGCAGTAGTCATGGCAGATTGGGTGGGCATGGCCAGGGTGGGTGTGGCCACCTCAATGTTGCTTATGGGGAGGGACACCTGTGGGAGCCGGGAAGGGTTGGGGGAGATCCAAGGGGTCTCTGGCGGGTGGGATGGCGGTCTCCCCAATGGCGGCTCCAGGCTGGCTGGCCTTAGGCCAGTGATGGCGAACATTTAGAGACCATGTGTGCTGGGGCAATGGCGTGTGCCCACAGAGAGGGCTCCACGTGCCGCCTCTGGCACGCGTGCCATAGGTTCGCCACCACTGTGATACATCATCTGATCCTCTGTTTTAAACAGATCTATCTGTATTTTGTTTACGTATATAATTATTATTATATGCAGGTTTATCACTACAACATTTTTAAACTAAAAAAGGCAGCATTTCAATTTTGTATCAATAGTACTTTAATATCCTTCCCTTCCTATCACAAAAAGTACTTTTAACTCATTTTTAAGTTTAATTTATTTTTAAAAAGTGAGCAGAAGGGCTTTAGATCTACAGAAACTATAAACGTCAGGTACTGTACAACCTACTGAATTTAGAAAGACTTACTTTCACTGAGAGTGTCATTAACGTGTTTATTATTACCATTCTAAACTACAAGTAAAAGCCACACTAATCTTATTTACACTACAAAGTCAAGTTCAATATAGATCACTATGCCCTGACATACATACTGGGTTCTAA